GAGTGCAGTACAGATTTTTTTTTTTCCAAATCGGGTTGACCTGTAATTGATCATGTATATAAATGATCTGTTTTTTTTTTTTTTTGTATTTTTAATTTGTATTATATATACTTATTTTAATGTATTTATGCATTACCTTTATTTTACTGTTGCTTCCAATGCAAATGATGTTCCTCTGCATAGAAATTCACAAGTGCAATTATTGTTACTATTATGCTTGCTGAAAATCTAATAATAATAATAATATTTGCACCCCGAAGTTTTGTATTTAAGGCATGAGGTGAGTAAGGGAGGCTTTGACTCCGCCTCTTTGGGGTTAGAGAGGTTCAGAACAATCGACTGGTTCAGATAGATGTAAGTACTTTTAATGTAAACAGTGTGATGTTAGCAGAGAGTGTAGTGATAGTCCAAGCTAGCAAAAAGTTAGTTTTTTTTACAAATATGTGTTTTTTTATATCATACTGGAGGAGTGCTCATGATCAGGTGACACAGAGGTCTAAGAATTAGAATCAGGAAAGAAAACATGCTCAAGACAAAGCAGCACAGGGCGACATGCTGCACTCCAATCAGCTCAACGACGGACGGCGTTATTCTAGCAGGACGGAGCAATTACTGAGTGGATAATAATCAGTGTAATATTTCACAAACACAAATGTGTGTCCTCAGCGGGGTCGTGACACATCGCAGCCCGGTATCGGTCACAGAGCCGAGGACGACACGCAGAGTCAACAATGTGCCGGGCGGAGATAAATCAGGGGTGAGAGACAATAGTCCGAGAGCTAACAGTGAGTGTCCCTGATGGCTCGTGCTGTGCTGGTTTATATGCAGAGGCACACAGCGCACACACACACACACACACACACACACACACACACACAGAGGACGTGCTGAGAAAGAGAAGTTCCTCTCAGAGACGGAGTCTGGGAAATAGTTTTTTTATTCTGTCTATGAGGCTTTGATTTGTTCTTCTCTGCGAGGGGAAGCTCAATGTGGAGTGCTTGCTGCTGAGTTTCCTTTAATGCTATTTTTTTTTTTAAACTGCATGAAATTAGTTTAAAGGAGGAGATACAACAAGTCGTTCTGAGGAAGTCATGTGATTGGACAAGAGGCTGATCTACAGTCAGACAGCGCAGAGACTCACATTTAACTTATCAATAAAACGCAAAAGATCCCTCAGGTGGGAGTCAACAGCAGAACAGACAAACAGAGGGCCACTCTCTCTCTCTCTCTCTCTCTCTCTCTCTCTCTCCCTCTCTCTCTCTCCCTCTCTCTCTCTCCCTCTCTCTCTCTCCCTCTCTCTCCCTCTCTCTCCCTCTCTCTCTCTCTCCCTCTCTCTCTCTCTCTCACTCACTCTCCCCTCTCTCTCCTCTCTCTCTCTCTCTCTCTCTCTCTCTCTCTCTCTCTCTCTCTCTCTCTCTCTCTCTCTCTCTCTCTCTCTCACACTTGCTCTCTCTCACTTGCTCGCTCTCGCTCTCTCCCTCCCTTCTCTCTCCTCTCCTCTCTTCTCTCACTCTCCCCTCTCTCTCCTCTCTCTCTTCACTCTCTCTCTCTCTCCCTCTCCATACAAACTTATGAACAGCTTTATGTATTTTCAATATAGCTGGGTCAATCATGCTGCTGTGTGCGAAGCATAGCTGAGTGCTAACTAGCTAGCATTAGCTAATGATAGTATCAGGATCACAGTGTCACTTTCAGTCAGTGATCTGAGGCAGCAATGTTTGAAAAAGGCAGAAATATTTGACTCAAGTTATCACAATATTTTATGGCAGGATAAGAAGTTATTTGATTCCCTTTAGGGTCAGCGGAGCGTCTAACAGCATTAAGCTACAATCTCCTCCTCTCTGCAGACGCAGGCTACAACCCGGGCGAGTCTCCTGGTTGGTTAGTTCATAAAAAAATAACGCAGGTGACAAACTGAGGCTGATAACTTCTGAGCAGCGTGAAGCAGCAGGAGCCTGTCTTACTCGCCAGGTGGGCGGTTCCATAAGTGTGTGACATCACATGACACTGACAGCTATGACATTTTTAACAGACTCAAACACACCTGTTTAATGAAATATATGTCCTTTTTTTTTTTTCATTTGACAACCTTAATCTTGAGTAGCTTCTGTATAAACGGATCATAAGTTCACACCGGGTCACAGAACTCCTCTTCTTACAGCAGCTCCTCGTTAAACCTCCAAAAATGAGTCAGCGTGGGTCAGAGCGAGGTTATATGGGCACCGAGCAGAGATGAAAGCAGGTGTTTAAAAAAGATGGAGGTGAAGATGAGAGGAGAGAGGACTGTGTGCCCCCCCACCCCCCCCACCCCCCACCCCCCCACCACCACCACCACCTTCACACCCCCACACCCCGACACGCTCCTAAAGAGCAAAGTGAGCAGGTCGCTTGGCCGGCTGGCGGCAATCAAGGAAACCCCACAGAGTTCTCAGCGTGTTCCCGGCCCTGATCGTTTCCCGGGGGGGGGAGAGGCGCTGACATGAAACAGGAAGTGTCCTACCTTCTGCTCGCACCGTGAACGGGGAGTCTCCGGGCCTCTTGGCTGAAAACTGGCCCCCGAGAGAGGTCATCAGGAAGCACAGACTGAAGAAACCGATCCCCAACACAAAGATCCTGCAGGGAGGGGATGAAAACACAAGAGGGGTTTAAGTGCTTGATATCTGCATTTGAGGGATCAACACAATAAATGTCTTCATCAGATCAAAGATAGATCTGAGAGCCAGAAATCCCACATCAGTCAGGCCCTAGATTCTATATTATTTGCTTCATTCTGGTGTTTGGTGCATTTGAGGTGAGGCAGGGTAACTCTCAGTCACAGAGTCAGGAGGAGCCATCACTTTGTGGAGTTTTCTTTGTGAGGTTTTTTCAGAGCGTAGAAATACTTTCATATTGTACAAAATCAACCCAGAAGAGAAAAATAAAGCCTTGTGCACATGCTTGACTGTGTCATCTCAAATAAAACATTACATGGTTTTTTGTTCTGCCTCACACTGCGCTCAGTGAGCTAACAACCAAAGTAACAGCTTTAAATTACAGGCCAATGGTTTGTTTTTTTGTTTTTTTTACAGAGAGAATTGTCAAGTTGTCCAGCTCTGAAAGCAAAACGCTCCGGACACATCGACTCGACACTCAGCCGTCTGATCGCTCGCTCGCTGCACCAGTCCTGCTGAGAAAAATGTTTCAAAGGATATAGAGACTCCTTTTGATCTTTGGTCCATCGCCTAACTGCAGCAGTGTATGGCTTGTTAAGACTGTCGAGATACCAGGATGTTAAAATATGACACTGATAAAACAGCAACACAAATAAGAAGTCCATAGGCACCAAATATTGGGAACTCTCCAGCGTTCAATGATCGAAACAATTGCAAGAAAACTCCTGCAACCTGTCTAATGTGCACGAAAAACGTTTAGCCCAGTGGTTCTCAACCGGTGGATCGGGACCCAGAGGTGGGCCTCAGAACCATTTTTGATGGGTCGTGAATGTGTGCATGGAACAAAAATGTCTGAGAAGCAGTTTTTAAAGGCTTTAAACGCGATTTTTTGATCCAGCAGATGTCGCCCTTGAGCTCCAGCATGAAACCAAAACAACTGGCGCTGCATTGCTGTGTTAGCATGCTAATGCTAGTGATCTTTATTATGCTGGTATCTTCACACTGCATGTAAATTTACCTGAAATGAGCGTGATCTAGAAACACAGTTAAGCAGTGAGTACAGTATGTTATTCTTCTTTTCTCTAGTCCCTCAATTAAACAACTTTTATACACGAGGGGAGGAGTCAGCCGGCCGTCCTGGCGATGTAAACAAAGTGAAGATAGGACTCTGAAAACATCACAGATAGTGGGACTCGGGTGTTACACCCATTGTAGACAGTCATGACTCACAGAGTTATTTTCAGAGGATAGACTTGATTTCTACATTTAAGTGTGAAAAATCACATATTAAGACTTTAATCGTGTTTCTTTTGTTCAGTTTCTTGTTTCTATCACATATTTTGTACTGACTGAGGTCCAAACTGCACAATTTTTAAATTGCTACATATCTGATTGGTCGGAAAATATCAGAAATTTGTGTTCCTATTTTTCACAGAGGAGTTAGTGGTGGGTCCTCCTGAGGCTAGACGAGTTGGTTTAGACAGTGTGAAGGAGTTTGTTTGCAATTCTTGATGGATTAATCCCTCCCCTAAGCATCTGCACGTTTCCATACTATGGATTGCATCATTTAAAAAAACATGTGGCATCAAAGTGTGGAACATTTCGACACCCTCCCTTATTGAGAAAAACATCAAAGGTCCTGTTGAATTATCAGAGAAGGAAAGGTTACAGTCTTAGATTATGGAGATTTAATCTACAGACATGCTGCCGCTTCCACTCTCCAATCAATACTCACTTCATCACTCTGCTTTTTGATTCATTATCGGCGCCCCCCCAATGACAAACACAACACAGATGGTCGTTCGTTTTTAGGCACAGATGTGAGATAATCACTTGTATCTTTTAAGCTACATCCCTTACTTGATGTTCAGCACCATTTCTCCCCCTGCAGAAGATACCTACACAAAAACCTTCACACTATGTAATGCTTCAAGTCGAGCTAGTTTATTCTGAACTTGGAGAAACAACTCTTTGGTTTTTGTGCAATTATTTCCAACACACTCACAAGACTGACTCTCATTTCTTGCAGACAATCCAAGAAGCTACTTCACCTCAGCGTGCAACTGTTTCCTCAGAACACGTCCTTTTTTCCTTGTTTTATGTGCCTCTGTACCACGACAGTTTACACCAACATATGTTTACCTTAAGATCTGATACTTTGCCCCCGGGGATCAGCAGAATATATAAAAGGTATGAGTAATAAGACACTAAGGGGGCAAAGCAGGACACACTGTCACTCTCTACACTACAGCTGGTTTTCTTGATATTTACAAGCAGAGAGACTGCAGACCGTCAGCCAGCCCTCCTGACAGTGATGAACACAATTTCACCATCCAACACGTGAGGTAATGGTAACAAACTGGGATTTAATGCTCAGGGAAGCATGCACTGACTGCTGTGTGAGGTGACAGCCTTCCTCTTTGTATTCACTCATCTGTAGTGAACAGGCATGTGATGTACTTAACAGCATGAGGACACTTTATGTCAGACAGAGCGACATCATGCACACACGTTCCCTGCCTGGTTATCACTTCCTTCTTCATAATGCTAATTAATCCTCAAGCTTGTGTGCAACCTTTGTGCTCAATCCAGTAACTTTTAATGAGCTTTAACGGTTGTCAAAATACCAGATTTTATAAACTTCAGTACCATTAGAGTAAAAATCAAATAATACAAATACCTTTTTCGATACCACAGCAACAACAACACAAGACCTCGGCTCCTATTGGGTTATTTCTTGTTTCCTCAAGCTCCTGTGCACCTCCTGGTCTTAATTGCAGAAATAAGTTGGACAGTGCTCTCTCTTGATCATGGCATGACTTGAGATTTTAAGTTTCTTTCTGCATCGTGCTTTTTCGGTACTATATCGATCATTAAAGGAATGGAGATCATCTTAAAGTGTCAATGTATCGATACCTTCCAAGATGTTTTTTTTCAGCTTGTGGGGGAAACAGTGACAAGAGGAAATGTTATTTACACATGCATGCAGCAGGCCAATGAATGCCACCTTGGTCAGAACCTGCAAGACTTCTACTTCAGACAATAATTCATCTGTTTGGAAGTTATTGTAGTGTAAAACACAAGTGAGAAAACAAGGTAAACAAAGAGTCAACAACATGCAGGTGCCACCAGTAGTAAGACAGTGAGACTGAACATGTCCAGAAATAGACTCTACTACAAAGTGTGTGAGTTCATACTGTGCTTTCAATGTTTTCTTGGGGACTTTACATCTCCCAGTGTTACATGTTTCCTCTATTATTTCCATTCTCAAGATGGATATTCTAAATGTTAATTTAAGAATAAGACAATAGACTATGGTCCATTGGTAGATTTGTTTAAATGCCAGTAGAAACTGAAAAGGTAGGCTGCCGTGTTCTCACCTGAACGGTTTGAAAGTGAGCAGACATCTCCTCAGCATAATGAAAAGCTCGTTGCTGGTTGAAATCATTTTCCACACACGTACGCAGCTCCGGCTCTCCTGAACATGATGCGACCACAACTTTTCCCCACCACAAACCGTCCACGGTGCGTGACAAAGCAGGTTAACTTCCCCGGTCCAACTTCAGTGATCAACCCCCGCAGACCGATGCAGCAGCAGCTGTACGATATTCCTCCCTACCGGAGCTGCAGAGGAACAAATACGGTGAGAAAACTGCGCGACTTGACTTAAAGCAGTGATGGTGGTATCCCAGCAGTGAGCGCGGCAGCAGCGAGGACTGATGACTTCTCTGACTTCCTCTGAATGAATGAAGCGCAGACTGAAGCTCCTGTAGGTGAAGCTCTTCCACTTTGGCTCGTTCACCCACAGCGCCACCCAGCGGCTCAGACTAGAATGACAATCTCTGCATTTATTTTCTTAGGTAATTAAAAAAATAAAAGCATAGATAAAGAAACGAAAAAAATTACCTCAGCGTCTCTATAAATTATAATAAACGATTTATATATTATTTAAATAGGACCTATTATCCCCCTTTTCTACCTTACCTATCAATCAATCAAAACTGTATTACAGACTCAGGGTCCAGATAAGACAATAGTCACGAGGATTCATGGACATTTTTAGTTGTGTCTCTGATTCATGGCTGTAAATATGTCTCAAATAGTTGTAATGGTGTGTGTTATATATTCACTTCTTGTGTTTTGTGATGCCTTTATTATTCCTTGTGAGTATGAATTGACCAGGTGGGAATTTAGTTTTTAACAAAGTTTTCTAATCTAACCTAATTTAATCTGAATGTATGATAACGATGAGTGATAAATCCTGTCACTGTCAAGAAAAAGTTAAAACAACATCATGTCAGAAGTGTGTTTTTAGTTTGGAGTATTGCCATAACATGAATCTGGAGTTTAATTAAGTCATTTTTTTTTTTAACTTTTTTTTTTTATTTAAATTGATTTCTCGCATCCAATGCATGTAGACGTTTATTTTAAAACGTAAATATATTTTAAAGAATCCATAAAACATTATACTAAATTTGAACATTAAACAGTAAATTAACCATTCATGACTCTAAGAAAACAACTTAATTTGCTAGTTTAGAGTTTTTTATTCTTGCTAATTTATATCTTTTGTTAGGTTCGTGTGTTTCCTTTCGGTGCTGGATAAATAAAGTTGAGATTTTGTTTTTCGTTCAGTTGATTTCTCTGTCAGAGGTCTCAGGACAAACTTCAGCACCACGGACAGCTCCGACTGTGAACCAGCACACAGCTCAGCAGCGACACCCAGCGGTCAGACCACAGAATACACCCACAGAAGGGTGGCTCTGTGCTGAATATTATCCTGTATACAAAAGAAAAAACAACTTTATTTTAGCTTTTTCTGAATTCCTTGGCACATTTCCATAAAAAAAAAAAAAAAAAAAAAAAAAAAAAATCTTTATGAATCTGTTTAATTGTGAAAAAATATCCCAGAGTTACTTTTACTGTGGATACTGTTGGCCTAAACTAAGCACTATATTAAAATGTTTAATCAAATTAATCTCAGATTTTATGATTGCTATAAAAACGGTTTAAATGTAATTTAAATGAATTTTGTCCCTCATTTGTTGCCGTTGTCATTGTTGTTATGTGTTCTGTTTGGTCTTGACCTCGGTGTTCTCTGTGAACCATCAGAGAACATCAAATGTTAAATTGAATAAAAAAGTCATGCTAGGCCACATGCTAATAGACGGTGAGGAGTAGCAGCATCAGCAGCAGCATCCTCTGTTTCCATGGCGACCGCTTTCACCCTCTGCGTGGTGGTTGTGTTTTCTTGGCTCTGCCGTTTGTTGTTTTCCTGCCGCTTCTCGGCCTGCCGCCCAGACAGACTCGTTCGGCTCTGCTTGTTGCTGAAATGAAAATACCCCCACTGGTCAGGTCACGTTCACTGGCTGGAAAATGACAACAGGACGGAGCTTTGTTTCGACTCTCTGCAGGGAGTCGTTCCTTCATTACAGGGATGGATGGACGAACAGCTCAGCAAGAGTGAAACAAAGCAGATTATGTGATATTTGTTTCAATATGTTACATAAGCAAGAGACTGACTGTCTTTTATAAAAGTTTTATTGAGTCTGTTTTTTGTATTGCTGCATGAACTTAACCAATAAGAACAGACTTGGGATAAACTGTTTCTTCTTTTAGCTTTCAGGGAGGCAGTAGCTCAGTCTGAAGGGACTTAAGGTTGGGAAGCGGAGGGTCGCTGGTTGAAGTCCAGGTGTGGACCAAAGTATAGAAGTTGGTCTGGATGATGTAAAGGTTTCAGGTCACTTCCAGAGTACTGCCGAGGTGTCCTTGAGCAAAGCTCCGGACCCAAAAAAGCTTTGGTGTGCTCCCTCTTTAGCAGCTCGACTCTGACATCTCTCCTCTAATGTCCAAAGGTACTGTTTGTACACGCGTCTAATTCAGGCCTGTGTTTGTGAGCGGCATGTCTCTAAATAACAAAGTGTAAAACCAGAATTTCCCCTCATAATTAAGAAAGCAAGTACAACTTTTTTTTTTAAGTATTAAATGCAAACATAAGTAAGTGCAAGTCTTTTTTTCTGATGTGTAAAACTGCTCCTGCAGGTAAAGACAAATCTAACAATGGTTTATATTTTCAGGAGCTTCAGATGCATCCTGAGAGAACATATACATAATGTAGTGTTAGGAGTTCTGTACTAAATATACATGTAGTATATCTGAGAGAAATATTTGGCTCCCTTGGCGTTCGTCTGACTCCTCTTTCAATACGATGTGTCATACACCTTTGGGGAAGTTTGTTCAGCACCCTCTCTCTCATCTCATCTCCTCTCTCTCCTCTCCTCTTCTCCTCTCCTTTCCTCTCCTCTTTCTTTTTTTCCAGTCCTGAGTAATTCATCTCGAGGATATCTTCTTAGTTTTCTTCTTTGTTCCTTGCCTTCACTATCTCCTAGCTTCATGCTGAGTTCTCCTCCAATGTTTGTTATCTCAGCCTCACAGCCTCTTTATTTTCTTCTCTATCGATCTACCTTCCTGTCTCTTGGGTCTCTACCTCCACTGCAGTTTCCCCTCCCCCTCCCTTTCTGTTTGGTTTGGACTCCCTCTTCCAGATACATATCGGTCTGTCTCTGTTCTGCTCGTGGAGCTTATTAGAAACATGCAGAGGTTTTTTAGGTCGGGTACAATCACTTCTATCTGAACCACTTCTCTTGCCCGCTTCCATCGCTGCAACACCTGTTGACCTGATAACTGCTCTCATATCTGGCAAACTGAGGGGCGTCCAAAACGGCCGTGTGGGGGTGTTTTTTCTATGTTGATCCACAGAGCCGTTTTCTGCGCCTCGTCTCAATCCCTCAGAAAATGTAACAAGTAGCAGAAAGCTCGAGACAAACAGAACGATGATGACACATAAAAAGTCTCCATCATCAACACAGTGTATGGTATAAACATGTATTTTAATTTAACCTCTTTTACAAGAACACATGGCCAAGATACCGGCATAAAAAGGTGCAAATAAAATCATACAAAATAAGACAACAGGTTATACCATATTGAAACAGAAAACAACATGAGGTTCAAAAAAAAAGGAAGCTTGAACACAGACATGGAAAAGAACAGAGTCATATTCAGAGTTAATATTAAAATATTAAAGATATCAGAATATTTCTGGTTGCAGAGTATTTTTACAGAACTCTTTAGGGAACATGGGCAAGAAAAAAAAAAGTCTGTGAGTTTCTTCTTCACGTTGAAAACTTAGAAATAATCCTGTAGGCTCGAGAAATGTTCCCGTGCTCGCATCAAAGTTTTTCACTTGCAGGCCAGATTCTTATGGGGAAAGAGAACGTTTTCTGCATGCATGAAAAATCACAGATATTTCTCCTGCCCATGTCTCCTTAGGAGCTCTGCAAGATCAAACATAAAATAACAGTAGAGGAGCATTTTCCCTAAGAACAGAAGTTATTAAACAAGCTGTATGCACTTATGTCTCAGAGGTATTTTGATGTTGCAGGTGGTTCAGTAACAGCGATCAGGTAAAACTGGTTAAAATGTGCAATATTTCTATGCTGTGGCGTGACATTACACATTCTCACTAAAGGTAAATAATGCGTCTGACTTTCCGAGGATGGATTTCTAAGAATAACACATTCATCAAAGTCAGTAATAGCTATTTTAACATCTGGTTATGCTGGTAGACTATGATATTGCAACGCTCTTTCCGGGGATTTTTCATGTGATGGACCCTCAAATGTAATCCCCCTACATAGTATTTACAAACCTACTGCCTTTGTAAGAGGGAAACTATCATTAAACCATGAACTGTAAGGACTAACAGGTCAGCTAAAGCTCCATAGACTACCTGCAGCTTCAGTGCTTATGTGCCATCTGTTCACTGAAAGGATGAGAGAAAAAGAAAATAATTCAGGATCTTCTGGTTGACTGATGACGATGAAGGTGTTCTTCTGAGCGCTCTGTGACTCTCCCCCCCCCCCCCCACCCTCTCAGTTTACATGTTTCTCCCCCCGTTGATGACGTTTCCCCCTGGAGGGGCGATGTGGATCGAGTCCAAGATGGGCCGCAGTATCTGTCCGAACGGCCTGTAGAGGTAAGGAGGAGACAGGATTGTTTTTAAAAAAAAAAATGGAATAACAACAACAACAAAATGATGGCACATATTTCAGACAAGTTGCAGCATGTATCTGCTAGGAAGACTTTTAGACTTCAATCCAATACTAGTTTGAATCACAGGAACTCAATGACTGTTTTGTTGCCATGGCAACAAAAATATAAGTCCTAAGAACCCAATATGGAGTCATTTCTTGTTTTCAGATATCAAAAAATTTGCTCAAATACATTGGCAACATTTCAATGTAAACAATAGGACATGGAGTGAGATAGCCTGAGCCCACCCGAGCCCTTCCAGAGAGGGGGCGTGGTCAGACACAACTCATTTACATATTTAAAGGTACAGACACAGAAACAGCCTGTTCTGAGCAGGGCTGAAATAGAGGTGTTTATAGACATGATCAAATACAGGATCAGAGTGGATTTAGAACAAGAAACTTCACACACATGTTTAGAGGAGCTCTGACAGTTTTTCTGAAATTAGTATAACGTATTATAATGTGACCTTTAAATGCTTTAGGTTAACAACTCACGTCGAGAGGACTTCAGAGGGCAGGTCGGTGATGTAGGATGGAATGCTCCGGCCCGTCAGGAACTGAGCCACCTCGTTAGTGAAGGTGTTGCAGTTGTGCTCAAACAGACGATACCTGTCACCTCTGAAACAACAGAAGAAGAATTCAAATCAGATACCAGCCTACTAGAAATATGAAAAGTAAGTGACATGTGAAGATAGGTGAACATCTTCATGTTCTGCAGTAAACTAGAAGCTCAGTCTGTAGGAAGCGGGTCACCAGTTCAAGCCCCGATGTGTGGATGAAGTCTGGCAACGGGTCTGGTAAAGAGAGGAGCCAGATCACTTCCTGACTTTGAGCGTGACGCTGAACTGCTCTGGCGCTCTTTCCTGTGCAGCCTCTCACTCTATCCATTAGTGCATTAGTGCGTCTGCTTTGAGACGTGTGTTTGAGGGAGGAGAATAATATTTAACTCCACCTGTATGTGCTTTCTCCCAGGGACGAGAGGTACTCCATGAAGATCTCGTCAGACACCTCGGTCTCACCCAGCTCCACCACCGTGTCCGGATGTCCCAGCATCGTTCCACCCTGAAAAACACACAACAGAAAACTCTCACTAAATCTACAAATGTACTCAAATAATAACCAAACTCATTCATGAAAGTTGCTTTTCGACCTCTTACTCTGAAAAACCGGTAATATAGGATGAGCTAAGGGGCCGTGCAGTATGTTAATATCGCACATCTGTCTATCTAAATCTTGTTTCTCCTCAGTTAAATAAAATAAAAATTGTTATGACAGTTATGTAAGTTATCTTTTGCATCATAAAGGTGTTTTTTGTTGTCTTTGTTATATCTTAAAATGAGACAGTTAACAGTCATTGTTGATATAACTGTGATTACGACTTTGAACACTGGGTGAAATCTTGTTTTATGGTACATAAAGCCTCCATAAAACAAGGCACCAGGTGATTATTACTGTATGTAATATCATTATTATTTATGTATATGTAACACCAGGTGTGCATACAATACCACCTGGTTACAGGGAACCAATTTGGTGGCTTGAGTCAGAATGATTTATGATATCATTTCTGGAGTGGCCCACATGGAGCTCTGACATATGCAGGGGTAGTGTGACGTTTGTGGGCACACACACAAATGAATTGATTTTTCAACCCCCACTAATTATATGTAGGTAACACGATTTGGCAACATAAAAATCTTCTTAGCTTGATTTTTTTAGGGACTCAAAAACAAAGGTGAGCAAAGTCAGACTTTTAGTACTTAGAAAATTGCATGCAAACTTCTTGCACGCTGTCCAAATTGCAAAAATTCATTTATTGACAATTAAATCCATTCCAACTCAGACAGTGAGCACAAGTTTTTCTTTGGAAATGTTAATGGAAAGAGCAAAGAATGCAAAGTTACTACATTAACTCATAATAAAAACAATTACCAGCAGCCAGAATAATCGATTGTATGTAAGTCCCGCCCCTGATTAGGACAATAGCCAATCAGAGATCTAGATTTTGCCTTACAGGACAGTAAAGAGTATCTGAATCTGAATAAAGCTCAACAGTGAACCTCTCTGTCTCAATGTGGGAAAAAGGGCACTGAGGTTTATTTTGAGTCCATCCCACACACGCTCTCCTGCTTCCATATACACCAACCAGTGCACCAAAGAACCCACGCAATATTGTAATTGTTGAGTAACTTTTTATTTGAAGAAAAAAAAATACAAGTGGTTAATAAATGACTTGACTGTTTTTAAAAAAAGGGTTGCGAGACAGGCGGCTAACACACTGCGGATGTGGGGATTTTTAGACAACAGTTATTGAATGAGTAACACCTGCCTCAGGGAAATAAAGGACAGGTAATTAAAACAGATTTAATCCATCAGAAAAATAAACCTGAGATCAGGTACATGCATGTGAATTACACCAAGACGTCCTCTAATAAGACTTTACCAAACACACAGTGCATGGATGACAGATTTAATTTAAGCCGTACTGAGGACTGACAGCAGGAGAACAAAATCTGTCTGCAGACATTTTCTTCATTAGCTTGTTTGATAAGAAATAGTCAAAAGTCTAAGACTTACCGGTGAACAGCTCGAGATCCCCTCGCCTCCAAAGAAGAACTCATCTCCGTATGCGACTATAGCCGTGTGCCTGAGGAGAAAAATAAAGCACAAAATAATGAAAGAGAAGAAGGATTCAGCAGGACAGATATTACAAAAAGCAACGTAACAGCAGCACACAAATAAAGCAAATATGACAACAAATAAAGAACAATACAACCTTACACTGTCTCTTCTATAGCATAACTCTGTGATTACCTAAAATGTCAAGACATTTCTTTGGTAAAACCTCAAAATAGAACCAGTAGGCCTACATCACTGCCAAAAGAGATGAGGGGAAAGAATTAAAGACAATTCCAGCAGATGTGTTTGAGCCTTTGTGTGATCTTAATTAGATTTGTAACTGTCCCTTTTTTGTTTTTTTAATTATCTGGAAGTAGAAATAGGTCAAAGGCCGCCTACATCTGCTGGATACACACATTCAATTAGTTTCGATTATTCAGATGGTCGCAGGTCAGATGAGTCAGTTGTCAACAAAAAAACAAAAAGCAGAAAGGTGATACATACCAGATCCCCTCCAGTTGTTTTCCTGTAACAAGACACAAGAGACAGAAGCAGATTCTGTGTAAACCAGTTTACAAGAGGAGCACATAGAAAGAAAGAAAAAACACCCACCCCCGTTCATCGTTAGGATAAATCAGTCACGATTAATCATTTATCTTAATTATAAATACTGAAAAAAATGACGTAATCAAAGACAAGTGCACTATAAGGTGAAATGCATAAAAGCCAGTGCGGTTAAAGCATCTGCACCTGATATTTATTATTAACACTCATTTGTCCCCAAGGCCAGCAGGCTGCATCGGATTTTATACTTACCTAACATGATGGGACTGAGGCTGCGGGCCATTCCTCTCGATAAATCATAAATATATAGTTGGACATTGTATCGAGTAGCATTCTTATCCATAACGGAAAACCCCACAGGAGCTTAATTTTATTCTCTATTTGACTTGGCTAAGCTACAGATAAGAGATATTTAACGCCACAGCTGACAGGGAGGTTCTCTGTGAGTGATGTCATCACGTCTGAAAGAACGTTCAACCTTTCCGATTCGATCGCCTTCAGAATAAAAGCTTTGTCATGCGGCGTGAATAGGACATGAAAAGGTTTTTACGCTTTATTTTGAAGGAAGGTGGTGTTTTCTTTTCCCCTTGCTGTCACCAAATTATTTGAGTAATCCACCTGATAACGGTTTTTTATTTACGTGCGCTAGTAAAAAAAAAAAAAAGAAACTTTTTACGAAGAAATTAGGAGCATACTGCTCAATTCATCCAGCTGACGAATGACCATCTGTTCACTGGAGCCAAACATACTGCCAGCTTTGCTTGGAGGAAAACGATGGGTTATATTATCATCATTTGACCATCTTGTACTTAAGGCTATAATTAGTCCTCATCCTATTTCAAGCCCACAATAATAAGACACTCAGTAAATGCTGTCACATGGATGCAAACTGTTGACTTTTCTTTTTTTTTTTTTTAATCCAAAATAAATTATTATTTTTGAGGGATGTGTGTCAATTCCTAACCCTGTGTTAACATGATTTCCCTTTTCTGTTGTTTTTTCTCTAATAAGAACTATTTTGGAGACCATGGGCCGGGCTGGCAGTGTGTCACCTTTACAGGCAAAATAAAACAAATGGGACAATCTTAAAAAGAAATGCAAAGTATGTCATTTGTGCATTCAAATATATAAATATATTCATACAAATTAATAAACTGACTTTTTCTAACATTCGCGTTGCTGCTGCTGCTGCTGCTGCTCCTGTTGTTGTTGTTGTTGTTGTCACCTACCATGATTGATTTCCTCTGCCTTAGGATGGCAAGTGTCCAGGGTCAGGAGAGAGCGTGAGTGGGAAACCCACTGCCGCAACTTGGCCCTGGTTTGTCCTCATGGATGAGGTGTTGGGACAGAGACATTCCACCTCACCCCCTGTCCTAATTGCCTCCATCCCTGAAGACACACCTGGGCCAAGCGAGGCAGTGGGTGACCAGGAGGAGGAGAGGTCGGGGAGAGAGGAAAGAGAGGGAAGCCAGGCAGGAGGAAAGAGAAAGAGAGAGAGGGACAATCATGATGAACTGATGCAATTAATCAGAGAGGACATGCGGTTCCAGAGGGGAGGCAGCAGAGAAGAGGACACAGGAGAGCAAGGCGCAGATGGAGAGGATGTTCTCCCTGCTGGAGCGTTTGATAGAAAAATGATGTAAATAAAATATTTGAATTCAAATAGAAATCGTTCATTTTCTTACTTCATTGTTATGTTTGCTATGTTTAGTGTTACTTTAATATACTTTTTAATTAATGAAAATCATTTAAATTGAATTCAGATATCAACTGGTTCTACTATTATCTTATTGTTGATTTTATGCTAATCTAATATACCAATCCATAAAATTAATATAAATTGAACACATTTGGTTAATTTCAATAATGTTGTTTATTTTGTTTACCTGGACTATGTATGAATTCTCTACAGGTGCAAACTAAATCACAAGAAAATAATCTGACCTTCAACGCTGTCACACACGCTGCTTTTCCTCCCTCAAGAAAATATTTAGACTGCACACTATTTACTGTACTGCCAGCTACCTACCTTAGAGACCAGAAAATAACCAGACCTGTTTGAATATTTAAAATTATAAATAAAATGCTGTGACTAAATCCACAGAAAACTACAGTCCCAGTGATTAATGAGTATCAAGGAGCCACTGCTAGTAGTTTCTCACAGGAAAGAAAGGTAAGAATATCAGTAGAAGAGTAAATCGGAAGCAACTGCGCTTTCACTTCAACCAATCCTCATAGCTTCATTACACCAAAATACCTCCAGTTAGTCTGATGGAACTAAGAAAAATGACTAAAACCTAATGTTAGTGTCAGTATGAAGAGTATTATTACAACCCTGCTTCACAGTATACACAAAATGTAACCTCTATTGTGTAGATTATCAAAATGAACTAGTATAGCTATAATGAAAACAACGAGCAGAAATCAAATTAAACTTTGATTTATAAAAAGAAAACAGAGGTAAAGACTATTTACATTTATTTAAAATCTATCTATCATATTGTATATTTAAATCTGGGTATTTACATTTGATTTGATTTTTTTTTTTAAAGGGAGTTCCTGCTGTACTGCAGGATAAACCTGCTGTTCAAATCGGGGATGAACGCACTTCCTGGTTCCTGCAGGCTGACTCACAGCTGACAACGGACTCAACTTCACCGACTCCAGGGCTTCTCAAACTGGGGCCCGCGGACCTCCTGGAGCCCCGCTATAAATGACTCAACAGTTTTCTCCTGATTTCAGCCCACTAGTGTTTTTTCAGCTGCCTTTCTGACGACCCTCATGATTCAAAGAGGGTGGGTCCTCCTTCAACAAGAAGTCAAAATGTACATTTAAAGTCACAGTGACGGATAAAATAATAAATGTAGGCCTATGTACGGTGAAGTTCTGAAGAACTTTTATTTAGTTGGAATGGACTTCAAATCATTTTGTTACATAACATTAGGTTTACTTCATGTTTTTGACTTGATCTTACGTAATACATTTAGATGGAAAAGGTGTACTTAATATAATTAATTGATGTCAACATGTCATTGTTTTATTCCCTTTTATCTTTGATGGTCTTACTTTTTTCACATTCGTTTATTGTTCATTTCTATCATTTGTGACTCTTCATTTATTTTCTCTTTAATTTAATTTTCAATTGTTAAGCAATGTGGGACCCTGTTTTAAAAAATGCTTTATAAAGTTTATTAAATATAATATTATATTTTGCACATGCTGCCTTCAAAGACATAAATATTGTGGTAATTAATAGAACTCCTCAGACTCTTGTCTGAGTGTACACATGTTGTAACTGCAGCGAATAGAAGAAGTCAATGATATCAGGTTATATAGATCTAAATACAAAACAGGGATAGTGTTGTACTGTCGTTCAGCCAACAGGTGGCGCTGTTCTCCATTTATCTGCTCTCAGACTGACGTCACCTTCATCACAGACACGTGTCATTATTGAAAACAACAAATAAATAAATCTAAATAAATCTAAATAAATAATATCTTCAGAATCAATACAGGCTAAATCGATAAATTTTAAAATAGTTTTTTATAATTCCAATGTGTAGTTATAATAAATTCTGTCGATGTGGTTGCTTAGTAACCATGGGATGGAATTGACAGGTACATTCGATTTGAACCCTCGCTTTGATGACGTCAAAGAACGGTCAAAACCGAGGTTATGAAGAGAGACTGTTTGAGTCATTAGAGTTATTCACTTTAACAAGTGGATCATCATTGTCTCGCTCCGCTCCGCCCCTCGAGACTCAGTTTGAGATTTCATCATAAAATGCTCGAAAGCATTCTGATATGAATGAAAAAATGTTTATGAGAGAGCGTTCAACAAATTATATAACCAACAGCAACAGCCCTCTGACTCATGGGGGGAAAAACAGTCTCGTAATGAACACAAGCCAACAAACCATTCTACTGTAAATCACACATTACAAATACTAAGAAACACAACAGCTGCTTTTTAAAGCATTAAACAGCTCAATATCTTCAGTTTATCGAGTACCACAAAGCATGCTGGGAAGTGACAGAACGTTGTACAGTACAAGTGTCCAAGAAAAAAACTCGGAGGTCTTCGTGTTTATAACTTTTTTATTAACAAACCTTTATTGACAATTATGAGAGCAACACGACACGAGAGCAGAGTCAGTAGGTCTACGTCTTCATGTGCTTTGAATGAGTCCATTTATTGTGTTAGAAAACGCGGTTTGGAGGACATTTATTATTACATATAGCACTCAACCAGGGCCGAACTGGCCGAAACGCTCTGCGCATGCTCCACTTTTCCCGCGCATAACGTGTCGTGAGAGACGAGCAGCTCTGATCAAATGACAAACAACACAAACGGGTGCTGAACATAGGCCGCATCCATATGCGGGAATGGGCGGGACTTAACTCCGCCCATTCAGCTCGACGTCAGCAGTCCACTTGACAGCATAGCTAACAGCTAGGCTGCTATCATCAACTATTCCTGCTCGTCCTGAGAAAACTCTACAAACAGTAAGTTAACATTTAACTTTTCTACAACACAGTTAAAACTAATTATATTCAACCCAAATATGTAATTAAAGTCTTAAAACTACACTTTGTTAAATATACAACTATGGTTATTAGTTATTTGTCAGAGCAGTTAGACTTTGTCAGTGTTAGCAGAGAAATACATTCACAAAGTTTTATCCATAAACTGTAAATAAATATGAGACATCCAGAAGAAATCAATATTACAAAGCATACAGTTCATGTTACTGTTCTGACAAAAAGAGGAATGTCTGAGTCTTATATTTACTGATGTCAACAGCGATGAGGTGAACATGGCAAATGAAAAATAATTATTTAGTATTTATTATAAGACATTTGTTTTCTATTGAACCTGTGAAGTCATGGAGTCTGTGGACAGTGTCAGCTTCACACCAAAAACTTTAAGTATTAGAAAAAATAATGTTTAAGACTGGCATCTATTATGATGAGTTGCAGCTACCTTGTTCAATATTATTCCTTCAGATGTGGCTCATAACAAAAAAACAGCCTGAGCTGTCACATGTAGTTAACTGTACATGTTGTCTGAGGCATTAATTGAACACCTTTGTATTTCTCCTATAGACACAGTGTGGATTATTGGTGACTGGTCCGTCGAGGTGCCCAGAGAGCTGCAGAGACAGAGGAAGAAACCTGAGCCTCAACAACATCTGTGTTTGTTGGTTCTTCTGGGGTGGACTTCAGTTTCTTCTCTTCAACAGCTCGCTGTGAGGGAGGTCTCCCCCGGATGGCCTGAGTGATGTCACCCACAGGCTGAGAGCTGAGACAGGTTTTAAACCTCCTCACAAACCGTTACACCGCGCCCACCTGTCAATCAGGTCAGCTACACGCCTTATTGTGAATAACTCTTATCCTTCATCAAATCAAAACTGATGAGTCATCAAAACATTCACCCCCCCGTACAGTGTGTGTCCATCGAGACATGAGCTAATCAGATCTATTTGTTTGTTTTGTACCAAGCTGTAAACATGTTCATCTCTGCTATAAAAACAGACTTTTTTTAATGTTGTTTTTCAGATTAAATAAATATTTCTATATAAATGCACTCCTTTATGTCTACTTATGTGTATACATTTCAGATTTTAAAAGGACAAGACTAAAATGTGCATTAATGCTCAACTCAATAGCTTAGGGAAGGAAGTCTACTTTTACACAACTTTTTATTCTTTTGATAAATACTAATGTAGTTCATTTCTGAAAGTGGGATGGAACAGAGTCATGGCAAAAATATGCCCTTAAACACAGCCCCATTCTTAAATCAAGATACATGGAGAGTAAATAAGATCAATAACTTGTGAATAAAAACAGTTCAAAATGATTTAGAAATGTAGACTTATCAGATCAATATCACATAATATCAACTTCTCCCATCTAAACTGGACAAAGGGTTTAAAATAGGAAGAAAATGGTTTGATTGCAAGTTGTTTGGAGGAGATCTAGTTTTATTTGAACAGCTGAAGCATGAATACAGTCTTCCAAGGTGCAAACCCTCCTCCTCCTCCTGAAGCCTGTGGAGCTCCTTCATGTACTGCTGTCCTATCTGCTGGCCATCTTCTCTCACCAGAACTTCGACTGTTGAAAAGTCATTCAGAAGAAGCTCGAGCATGTGACATGGATCCAGGAGAACATGGACTTTTAGTGAGGGGTCTTCAGGATGGCAAAGAAAGAGAGAAAATATCAGTTATTCATTAAATCATTTTGTTTGTTCTCATCTATTTTTCTGTATTCATCTGTGTGTAAGAGCACATTTATAAATTCAACAGTGTACTACCCAGACAACAAAGGTCCAGTATTCAGGTAATCAACATCTATTCAAAGTTAAGAAGATAAACCTTCTTGTAATCATGCTGTTTTCAGCTCTCTCACTCACACAATGATATTCCACATCAAATGGTCTCAGATTTTGTGTGAGGAAAAATTAAGCAGTTTATTGTGGATAGTACTTCATCTTAACATGAAACAAATATAACCTGAATTATTTAAATCATTAACAGGTCCCGAGACCGGAGGTTGCCCCTTGGTGCTGAAGCTTTATTAACTGAGAAAGATACACATATTACTCATCTTCAGAAAAGTCATATATTCCCAACAAGTAGATCTTATTTAAATGAATTCTGATTTTGGCTAAATATTTCTTATATGCGATGAAATGGCTCAGCAAAGCACCCTCCTTTTAGTTTTAAAATGTCTATCCACTGTTGAAAATCTAAAGATCACAAATCAGAAATTTATAAAAGAATATCTCCAAATTAGCAGACTCCTCCTGTTTTGTTTGTTTTTCTATTATTCAATATTGATATTTGTTCAATTTGTATACTTGTTTATTTTTAATTCTCTACTACAGTAGACGTGGGAAGTTATCTTGTGTGCACATTAAAATGATCTTGTGGTAATAAGTTATCTAATGCAGACAAGGTGGATGATAATATGAGCACACAAGATAATGTATATGTTTTACCTTTGGGACTTTAAAGGCAGGGTTGGTCATTGGTAGACGAAGCACTGTAATAAATAACTGTATATGAAGGTATGTGGCACGCTCTCAAGATGACTCTAATGTTTCCGCCTGAGTGAAGTAATAAAAAGACAAAGCTGCATTTAGGAACAGATGGTATTTTATTGAGGTGATTTTTGTCTCCACAGCTCCTGATTAAATCTTTATGGTGAACTCTGAACCTAAACGCTGCACGTTAAAATATCAAATGTAAAAAACATCACTTTTTACAGAGTACAAGAAAAACTAAGCAGGTGTCAAACATATATTATGTTGATGAGAACCAAAGACGACAGCTTCAGTGTTTCTGTACATAAAAAAAAAATGTAATATGTTAAAAGTCACACAAACAAACCGACGTTACAGCGAAACAAACACTTCACATTCAAACCGAATCACACAGAATCTCTCAGTACAGTAACGGTACAACTACGCTCACGTGCCCAGAGTTTAACACGGTCGATAAAACGTTTCATTTACAAAAAAATATCACAATTAGAAAATTAAGAGAAGGTTTTTTAAAAAATACACTTTAAAAACATGTCGACACTAAAAATATCAGCGTTCAGACGTCATCGGTGGCTTAAGGGTCCGTGTACCTTCCGTTCATTCTGTTTCCAATGCTGAAACGCAAGTCGGAAAACAAAAAAACAGGCATTTTTCTTTTTCAATGTATGGAGCAGATTTTAAAACAAACAAACAAGAGCTGTTTTCCATTAAAATATAGCCATAAAATTGGATTTTGTGTTGTTTTCCTATTATGGATTTTTATATTACCAGATAAACACGAAGAATCCAATCTATGTTGATCCAAAATGCAAAAAAGCGGGGATATCTGTATTATTACCGGTATTATAAGGAGAACCGGAAGCAGTATTTTACCTTTTTTTCCCACGATTAGCACGTCTTTAGCACAACAGTAGCAGATTCGGTTGGCAGGAGTGTGAAGACTGGACGAGATGGTGTCACTCGAGCCCTGTGGACATTTAATTAGAGAAATGATTGCTCAAAATCTCTCGCACGCGGATATTTCCACAAATTTATTACAATTAGGTGTGCAGCAAGGATGTTCTGAAATGAGTGTCAGGAGATTTTGTGCACATCACAACATTTCCAGGAGGGGACATGTATCCAACACACAATTAGAGGTTGCTATCAGCAGAGCAATAAATCAGGTAGGCCTAAGTTATTTTGGATTTCTTTGATTTACAGAGGTGGGTAGTAACAAGTTACATTTACTATGTTACATTTACCTGATTAAGTTTTTGGATGAATTGTACTTCTAAGATAGTTTTACATCATCTCCATACTTTTTACTTTTACTTGAGTAGATTTGTGAAGAAGAATGTACTCTTACTACACTCCATTAGGCTACACTGAGCTAGTTACTTTTTTCTTTACCCATTCACTATTCTACGCATTATTATTATTATTATTATTATTATTATTATCATCCCCCCTACGCATCAATTTAATGTTTTATTTTGTCGGACAGAGGGACTTCCGCCATAGGCTCTACCACCTGACTGTGTTTCAACAATCACATTTGGAAATGTGTGTTTCTTGTGCTGTAATTTGTTATTTTGTAAATATTCAATTTATTTTTCATTTTTATTTATTCTATTATTTTATTGATTGGAAGTACTCAAATTTACCTGAAGATTATTTTTTTCTGATTAAATGCATGTCTTCACAAATTAATCAGATGTTACTCAACAGTTGCTCAGTACTTCAGTAGTTTTTTCCCCCCCCAAGTACTATTTTACTCTAACTCAAATATTATTTGGATGACTACTTTTTACTTCTACTTGAGTCATATTATGCTGAAGTAACAATACTCTTGCTTGAGTACAATTTTTGGCTCCTCTACCCACCTCTGTTGATTTATTTCTAGACTACGTATATATTTTATGAAATATAAATCCATTAGGACTAGGCCTACATGTTACAGCTTACTTATGTTGATTCATCAGACAGGGTCAACATATGGTCGAAAGATGATGACCGGGTACCTGTCTGCAATGGGAGTGGTTGCTGGTGAACGCCGGGTGGGGAAGATTTTGAGAACAACTCATTGTCCCTATCACGAAATGCGCAAACGTGTAAGTATCTTTTGCAAGCCTTTAATGTTGTGGTATATTGTATAATGTATTTTACTAGCTAACTTTTACTTACTTTTCCCCCAAAGGGTGCACGTAACCTTAACCCCGTCCCCTACAGTGCTGCATACATGGGACACAAAATCCACATCGACCAGAATGAAAAATTGGTCATGTTTGGAGTGACACATGTTCTCGCAATAGATGGGTACAGCAGTAAGGTCGTTGCCCACACAACCATGCCAGTCAAGAACAACCTCACGATATATGAAGAAGTTTACAGGTTAGTCCAGTACTTCTTAACTTTTCTTTTCTCAACCTTTCTCTGATTTCAGAATCCAGGGCAAAAATTCAGGCAGGCGTAATTTTTTTGTGAAAAAGTCCATGGAAAAGTTAGTCTTTATACATACGTACTTTTTTTTTACTTTGTATGTAATATAAAGACTAACTTTTCTCACAACTTCACTTTTCTGCAAGTTTTTTTGTGACTTTGTGACTTTTTTCAATTTTTTTGACATTTTTTAAAACTGTTTGTGACTTTTTAGAAAAACGGTCGAATCCGTATAACAAACTATTATACGTTATATGGATTCTAACGGCTTTTTTTGTCTTTTTTATTTGTGATAGGCATACTGACCCATTATTTCTCAAATGGGGGTCCGTGTACCCCAAGGGGTACTCTGAGGTACAACAGGGGGTACATTTTGGATTGACCAAAAGCACTGTAGTTGTTAAATAATAAAATGAATCCTGAAAAATACAGTGCTTTCGGTCAATCCAAAATGTTAATAAACCTCAAACCTTAAAGTAAAAGTAAGGTTTTGGCTTTCTTAGAATCTGTGTGCACAATTATTAGGCAACTATAAGTGTGTAGAACTATTATGCAACTGAATGAAAAATGAAAATGTTCCCATCTCACCTGTTTACATTCTTCTGTTAAAGTGAGAATAATAAACAAACAACTCAAAATTTCGAAGTAAACATTTCTGACAGTAAAAAAAAAAATCTGTGACCAATATAGCCACCCTTCTTTTCAATAAGTCACAAAAACGGTGCACTAGTAGATTGCAATATTGTTGGTCTATCCTACATTGCAGACTCAACATTTGATGAGTCAACATTTGATTGAGTCATGTTTCACTATTTTACAGATCAGCAGTTCTTGGATGTGGGACCAGGTCAGGGTGGACCATGGCCGGGAATTGTACTTGTCCCTCTACATGCAGGAGATGCTGTCTAACCACAGACACAACTTGCAAAGGCAACCATATTGCCAAACTCAGTCAACAAAGGTGAAGTAACGGTCTCCTTAATGTACAAAATGTGGGGGGGGGGGGCACTACGAGGAGATCTTGCAAAAAAACACTGTGGTGAGTTGAATATCTATAGCATATCACCCGATAGGACACAACTTTGTGCAAACCGAAATATCACTTTAACCAGATGCACCCTTGAGTGGGGGTGCTTGTAGGTACCCATACGCATCAATGGTCCTGCTCCTTGGACTCCTAATCAAACCTCTTCATACTGTCTGTAAACTTTTTCCATCTGATATAATCCTGTTTCCTCTCACCATGTTGATTTTGCAGACTAAATGTAGTGGAGATTCTTTTAATTGAGTATTGTTTTTATATTATCTACCTTTTAGTTGAAAAAAAAATCTACCCTTTTCTTGTCTACAGAATCATACGGTAGAGCGAACGTGGGTAGAGATAAATAACCGGGTAAATTACCCAGTGAAGGAGGCCCTCATACAGCTGCAGGATCAGGAAGTCCTCAACATGGATGACAACGTGACTAGATACTGTACATCTAACCTTACTGCTGAGCTTTGCAAGATTGGTATAACAAGAGCTGTACATGCATGGAATGCACACAGAATCCCAGGTGAGTTAAATAAAAAAAACATGTATCACACAATCCAGTCCTTTTTTGTGAACTTTTTATTTTAAAGTTGACAGTGAATTTTAACCATAATCACATTTTGTGACCTATGCTTTGCTTCACAGGCAAAGGAACACCCAATTGTTCGGCAGCAGGAGGATGTCCAAAAAAACTGGGAGAGGAGTTGTTGCCACATGCCTCCCAAGCAGCAGACATGTACCAGCAGGATGTTGGCTCTTCACTGACTAGAGTCTCCTGCTTTGGAACTGACCCCTTCTCAACTGAGGAGGACAAAATATCAGCAACAACTTTTTGCTGTAGAGTACCCTGATATTTCAGTTTTATTAGATAATGTGGTAAACTATAACTTTGTACCTTTTCAAGATGCATTGCTGTATCTGATAAACATTACGCAGCAATATGCATGAATATGTCAAATAAAGACTAGTTGGTTCTGGATATACTGTATATTTTGTCACTTTCCTTTAACAAATAAAATCAAACACTTGCTAAAATTGCAACAATAGCAATGTTAAACATTACACAATATTTGTCTTAAGTGCAACATGAAATACAAAAAATGTATAAAAATAAAACTATTCTGTATCCTCTACAGCTGTTGAACAAGTGCAAAATTACAACTGACTTTAGAACAAGGCAATTAGCTAGATGTAACAGAGGTAATGAAGCTTAAAGCATAGAATGTGATACAATCACACTTAAAGGGTTAATCCATCTTAATTACACCAGCCAATATGGAGAGAACATTGTCAAGACTGGTCAGCCTGTGTACATTGACAGAGAACTCGTGCCCTGCATTTGAGGCACTGGTCAGATGTCAGCATCCACTGGTCAACACAGTTTTTGCAGCCAACAAAGCTTTTGCAGCATACAGCAATCACAGGCTCTTCCATTAGCCCTGTTTGATGAAAAAAATAAAAAGGACAATACATATGCAATATTAGAGTTCAATATATTATCTTGTCTTTACTTAAAGGAACAGTTCACCCAAAAATGAACATTCTGTCATCATCTACTCACCCTCATGCCAGTTAAAACACAGGTGTAGTTTGTCCATATAACACACAAGGAGGTTGCAGCACTACTGGAGAGCAAGTGGGTCTCCGTTGACTTCAACACAGTGCATAGAAAGTCAATGGAGACCCACTTGCTACTTGTGTTTTAACTGGCATGAGGGGTGAGTAGATGATGACAGAATTTTAATTTTTGGGTGAACTGTTCCTTTAATCTACATATTACATATGTGTAAAAGCTTGGCAAGGGACAGTTTCACTATAACATGGAAAAGCAAAAATTAATGATTGATTCACTTGAACATTCAACTAGATCCTGCTTAAAAGGTAGATTTTAATATAGATCAAACAACAAATTATGTTACAGACCTTTGCATACAATACAACCAAAGGCATCCTTCATGTGTGTTATCATGGTGTTGGTCAGAACCAGCATGGTGCCCCTGGTGCTGCTGGCATGTGTTGACAGGTCTTTTATGACTGTGGTGACTTCACTCAGTCCTTGAGCAGCCAAGATCACTTCTTCTATTTTATCATGGACCCCCTGAAGACCTGTGGAGTCCATATCTTTATTACTACAAGGAGGGTTAAAAACAAAACCAAAAAACAAATGTATTATACAATATTCATATAACTCTTTCTTGTTTTGTTTTTTTTAAGAGAGATGTTATTTGAAACAATATAAAGACAAATATTGATAGGCAGTAACTCAAATGTTTACCTCAGTTTCTTTCCCTTTGTTCGTTGCTGGAACTCATGGAAGATCTGCTCTGGGACAGCAAGAAACTTTTTTGCAGTTTGCTTCCAATACTTGGATCCTAGCAAGAGAGGAAGACAAATCATGTAACAGATATAATGTAAACACATTTACAGCTGAACAGAATACTTTGTGGGTCCAAAAAATTAAGAGACAAAGAGAGCACAGTATTGAAGTAGATGGGGCATGTAGTTTATCAAACAAAGCATTTTCATTTATTTTTATGCAATTATTCATTTTTTCAATTAGTACCTCTTGTCCTTTCGGAGTCCACAATCTCATTTCCCTGGGCATCAGTCAGGATGAGAGGGTCATCACTCTGCAGGGCATCATGTATTTTTGCAAGGATACCTGTGGTTGTGGCTTCAAACTCAAACAGTCTGAGTACAACCATAAGGGCAGGCTTCAGTTTCCACTGGCTGAGCTCATTTGGGAGTGGTTTACATCAAGTCAAATCAATTAAATCCATCTCAAACACATAGCCTACATTACAATTGATCCAATTACAACTGATTCAAGTTTTAAAATTATCTTGGTTACAAAGGATCACAAAAACAAATACAATGATGTTGATGTATTCTTATGTAGCTAGCCTTGGCCCAAACGAACCCCCTTTTTAATATGTAGCTTGTTAGTCAAGGGTAGGGGCTCTGAAGGGATGGAACTGGGGGTACCTTTGGAAGGTGTTACTCATGCTTGCTCGCGGGGTAGTGGGAGCGATGGCCTGAGCAGGTGATCCTAGAGCAGCAGTGGGCTGTGCTATACGATGGAACTGGAAACGGTTCTGGCCTGACAATGGAGGAGTCTGTTCGGCGACTTGTAGAGCAATATCATCCCCATGAACCTCTTAGTGGCCACGAGGTCTAAGGTCCAAGCAGCTGAAATGTCCAGCCGATTCCAGGAATATCGCCACATTGTCATCATCAGTTATGTACAGGCTAGGAGCATATACCTTTGAAAGAAAACATTGAGAAGCCTTAATCAGTCGGCTATTCGTGTGCTATGCATAGCATCCTTTGATTTTAGCATGTTCTCCAAGCAAACGAAAAAAGTGTTACCTACCTGGAATATTCTGGCGATTTTGTCTCCAATCATGTCGTCCTCCTTAAGCGTTAGCCTTTTGTTTCCTTTAAAAAGGATATAACTGGTTGAGTCCATTGCGCACAAGGAATTGTTACCGTACCGACACCAAGTTGAAATTAAACTAGACGAGCACCGCGACCTTCCTGACCCTTCCTGACAAGCGGACCAATCCACGCAATTATTTATTTATTTCCGGGCCACAGACTGAAAAGCGTAAAAATTGAAAATTGAAAAAGGAAAAACAGAAATTTAAGGCTTTTCCCCGAAAACTAAAATTTGAGTCAGAAAATGCAATAGTTTTTTTAAAAAGGGTAATTAAATAGTTGTCCGATTTTTGTTTCAGAAATGGAAATAGAAAAAATGGCCCTAAATTTGTTGTTTGATTTGCGTTTCAGAATTGGAAATAGAATGAACGGAAGGTACACGGACCCTTAAGTTAAAGTCCAAGGGTCACTCCTCCCGCTGACGTCTCAGACTCGACCACCCCAGCTC